CTGAATCCCCCGAGGTGTCCTCTACTTCCTTCCCCTACCTCTGCTCTGGGCCTCAGTGTCCCCATATGTAAAATGGTGGCATTGGACAAGATGGCCACAGGGAGCCTTTCCTAGTCTGAGAACTCAGAACAGAGGCCCTCACCAAGATCGGGCCACTGGCTGAACGCCACCACCGCCACGCTACTCAGTCCTCCTGAAGACCACTAAGCGCCAGGGGCAGCCCAGCTGCCTGGGCTCCAGCCCCATGTCGGCCACGCGAGAGCTGAGGGAGCCTGGGCAAGCCACCCACCCTCTCGGCCCCAGCTCACCCCCCAGGAGCGGGGCTCAGGGCAGAAGCTCCCTCGCGGGGCCGCGGTGAACGTTAAGTGGAGCCAGGTCTGACGGTGCCGGGTGGAGAGCAAGTGCCAAATCAGCGCTGGCTAGAAAGGCAGTTTCACCAGCGGCCAGAGCCCCAGCCTCACCCCGGGTACCGGCAAGGGAGGCTGAGGCTGGGCCCCCAGGTCCGGCAGGGCTGGCAGGGCTGGCAGGGCTTCGAGATCCTCTCAGACGGCCCGGAGGCCTGGGAAATGGGGAAACTCAGGCCCAAAAGAGCAAAGGGCTGGCCCAAAGGCCACGGCCAGCTGGTTTGCTCCCTGTGGAAACGGACCCCAGCTCCCCGGGTGCCTGCCCCACAGCCAGCCACCCCGTCGCCCAGGGGCCACTTCTGTCACCGCCCCTCCAGGGGCTCCCACCGCCTCCCTGGGCAGAGCGCAGTGGGGACAGGCGGGGGTCCACTCCACGTGATAAGGCCCCGCGCTGCCGGACCCACCAGCTCTGGAAAGAAACCAGGAATCTGGATTTTTATGTGAAATCTCTCCATTTTATGCTTTTAAATGTTGGCAGCCAATCCAGCTTTCCTATTTTCTATCAACTGCTGAGCAGGGCAGCGCATCCCAGGCCTGGCCGGGGCTGGCACTCTGCACGCTCCAACACGGACTGGGGGCTAGGAGTGGGGGCCTGTTGGGATCAGGGGGACCAGAGGCACCAGAGGAGAGGCAGGTGCCAGGAGAGTGGTGACCGGAGGATCTTCTGGACACAGAATCGGGTCACACTCTCCCATGACCGCCCAGAGGCCGACAGTTCCCAGGGGGTCCCTGTCGCCCGGCCCGGTGCTGGGCTGCCGCTGCACGCGTCTCAGTCCTTCTGGGCCGAAACCCTCCCTGTGCCCCCCAAGGCCCCACCTAATGCAGCCCGGCCACTTTCCCAACCCCACCCCTCCTTGCTCCTTCCACTCCAGCCCTGCCTGTCTGGCTGTTCCTCAAAGATTCCTGGTTCGTGCCCACCCCAGGGCCTCTGTACCTGCCGTTTTCTCAGCCTGGGACTCTCACCCAGACCTTTCAAGACCGGCACCTTCTCTCACCTGGGAGGTCACCTCCCGCCAAGGGGCCTTCAACAGCCACCCTCTGGCTCTGGCGGCCGCAGTCCTGGCCCACCCCCACCCCCGCCAGGCCAGCACACAGTGGAACATGGGCTGTCCCCTCTCCTGTCTGCCGGCAGGGGTGCTGCCGCGGCTCCTCCACTCCCCGTGGACCTTGGGAGGCAGCCACAGACGTCCCGCCAACTCCCCGCAGGAGCCTGCCGAGAGCCTCCGCTTGCGCCCCTGCGACACGGCGCCCCTGCTCCGGCAGCCCGCAGAGTGACCCTGCGTCACAGGCGAGCAGGCTGCGGTTCTGCGTGGGGAGGCGACCGGCCCGGGGTGGAGGCGCAGCTGGGACCCAGCCCCATGAACTGCCAGGAGCGACCAGAACGGCCTTCTCTGTCAGGCCAGACACTGCGGGGAGGGGCTGCAGGAGGCCCCGCCAGGACTGCTCCCATTGCGGGCGATACTCCAGGTCAACACGGCAGCCACCAAGCCTAGGACAGGGCCCAGGCAGCCTGGAGGCAGGAGCCCCACACACCGGCTTCTCGGGGCCGGACCACCACTGCTGAGCCTGGGGACTTGGCCTGGGGCCCCGACTCAGGGTGCCCAAAGAACAGGAGGCTTGATGGGACCCAACCAACCCTGGAAATGAATCTGTGTTCCCAGCCCCACAGTCGTTACCATAACAACCACAGTGACAACACTGGGCGCTCCCGTCAGGCGCCCAGCAGATGCACTTGCCCAGTGGACACGTGAGCCACGCGATGCGGGCACCATGAATGGGCCCCTTGTGCAGAGGGGGAAACTGAGGCTCGGAAAACTGATACCACTTGCCTGAGGCCTCCACGCTGGGAAAGAGCTAACTCGTTATTCCAACTCGGGCCCTTCTGACTCCTGACACCTGGGTTACCGAGACGGTTCATTTTAAGCTGCAGAAATTTTTGAAAGCGAAGTTGTACATGGAACCCCACACTATCATGCAGATAAGCAATGTGTTTGGGCCGTTAGTTGCCTTTCATGGTGTCACAGACTTCAACAGCGATGAGAAAACCGAATTTTTATCTGCACTTGTGTTTTTCCGACAGCTTCCCATTGCGTTTGGAATAAAATGCTAACTCCGGACGGGAACCTCTGCCCACACAAAGTGCCCCACGGCCCAGCTTCCCTCTCCACTCCCCCCGCCCTGGCCTCATCTGTTCTTCCTTCAAAACACACGGAACAATTTCCCACCTCAGGGCCGTGCCGATGCGGCTCCCTCCGCCAGGGGCGCCTAGAGAGCCTCCCTGCAGGGTCAGGATCTCAGTCCAAAGTCACTTTCTCAAGACTCACTGTGCAACTTCGGGATTAGTGTGGTGCTGCCACAGGGACAGACGCACAGGCCAATGGGACAGACGAGTCCATAACACTCAGATGACCCCTGGGGTGAGGAGGCAAACAGCACTATAACACAAAGAATCATGACCCCCCTCGTACCGTACACGAAAACTAATTCAAGATGGACTGTGGTTCAAAATGGGGACACCCAGACAATGAAGCTTCTAGAAGAAAGGCCAAGAAAGGGCTTCATGACCCTGGATAGGCGAAGATTTCTTAAGCAGGACACAAAACCCACCCACTAACCATAAAGGAGAGCGATCGATAAACTGGACTTCATTAAAGAACTTCTGTTCATGAGAAGGTTCCATTTTAAAGGAGGAGAGAGGCAACCAACTCACAGAGCAGGAGATGACACTTATGATACAAAGGACGTGTATCTAGAATATATAAAAACTCTAACAAGTCAATGAGAAGACGGATGAGTCAAAAAAAACAACAAGCATTTCACAAGAGTCCATTCCAATCTCCCACAAACATATGAGAAGGTGTTTAACCTCCTGAGTCATCAGGAAAATGCAAATTAAAGGCACAGTGACACCGGTGCCCACCCAGCAGAGGGCTGAAATGAGAACTCAGGCACACAATTGCACGGCCACTTTGGAAAAGTTTAGAAATTTCTTACAGAGTTAAACTTGAACTCGCCGTGGGACCTAGCAAGCCCACTTCCAGGACTCGACCTCAGAGAAATGGAAGCATCTGTCCCCACAAAGACTGGCAGGAAACGGTCACAGAAGCACCATTTGTCAAAGTCCCACAGTGCAAACGACCCAAATATCCACCATCAGGCGACTGGATAAACTGATTGCTGTGCATCCACAATGAAATACTACTCGGCAGTGAAAAGGAATGACCTGTCAACACACGGGGGGAACGAGGACGATCTCTAAAACACTGTTCTGGGCAAAAGATGCCAGACATAAAGGCAGCATGCCGCGCGACTCCCCTGACATGAGGTTCAAGAACAGAGACAGGTCATCCATGGGGCAGGAGTCAGCGCCGGCGGGGTCACCGACCTAGGGAGACACACACACACACACACACACACTCATGGAGCTCCAGGTGCAGGTCCCACACTGGTGTGTGTGCAGGTGACACCACAGTGACATTAGAGGGACAATTACTTCACTCAAGAGGACTCTTTGACAATACCCTGTCCCAACCACCAAGTCGGGACCCTAGGTTCCTTCTCAGAGGCCCCACCACTCTGCCTCTAGGACACAGTACGTATTTCTAAGTCCATGTCCACTTGGGGGTTTTCTCCTTTGACAGCCCTGCCAGGCTCCCAGTTCGCCCTATACCTAGCATGTGCGCTCAATAACTCTCTTGAACCAATGAACGAACAACTGCCAGTCTCCTGACCTAAACTGTGACTCCCGAGGGCTAAGATTGCGGCTGCCTGGCTCACTCTCGAGAGTGCAGAATAGGACCACAGAGAGAAAAGAGTTCACGAAAGCCGCGAGGTTCCATCAACCAACCTGACACACCTGGGTCAGAGATGGAACAGGTGTGTGGAACAGTGGCCCTGCTGGCTCAGCTACACAGCTGGAATTAAATTAGTTGCAAAGGGAAAAGACAAAGCTGTTAAAACTTTAATGAAAATAAGACACCCACAAAGCATGGGGGGGGTGCACTCGCAAAGTGAGTCCACAACGGTTTTTAACCCCTTAGAGAACAGCCGCCTGTGTGTCACGGTCAGTCTGGGTCAGGGTTCCCTAGGACCTTGGACTGACCTGCCACAGCCCAGGTGACAGCACATATGGCGTCCCTGGATAGTCTACAAAATCCCTGAACTGCACTCCTTGAAGCTGCCAAGGTCACCAAAAGCAAGAAACAGCAGGACCAAGGGTCTGCCACAGCCACAAGGCGCCTAACAACCGAATCTAGCCCTTGACAGAGATGGGGCATTAGGGGAAAATTAACAAAATCCAAAGAAACCTCAAAGTTTAACAGTAGTGACCACCGTGGGTTCCTCAGTTTTGACAAAGGCACACACACAGTAATGGTAGCGTTAGGCAAGCTGGGCGCTGCGTACATGGAAACTCATCACTATCTTGGCAACTTTTGTGTAAATCAAATGATTCTCAAAGAAAAGTCCAGGTTTGAAAAGGTGTACGTCCCACCAGGCACTTTGCGGCCGCCCACCTGCTGGAACACGGAGGCCCACCCTCACCTGTCGCCACCCACGCCCCCGCAGAGCGCAGCAAGGCCCGCGCCGGGCGCTTACCTTGGGCGGGTCGAAGAGCTCCAGCACGCGGTCCGCGCCGCCCTCCGGACCCCGGGCGCGCCGCAGCGCCAGCCGCCCCCGCTGCCAGCGCGGCCCGCTGTCCATGGAGGCCTCGTCGGCCAGGCTGTAGCGCAGTGTCGCCTCCTTGAGGGCCTCGGGCGGCGGCTCCCGGGCCAGGCTCCAGGGCAGGAGCTTCCTGGCCAGTCCGGCCTTGGGCCGGGCCTCCCCCGCGGTGCCAGCTGCCGGCACCTCCCCGGCCGAGCGGCGGCGGATGATGTGGCGGAGGCTGTGGCGCAGGTGCTGGAGGGCAAAGGGCGTGGACGGCCGCGGTGGGGCCAGCTCCTCCGAGCTGCGGGCCTTGGGCAGGGCCGGGGCAGCCGGGCCCGCCGGGCCCGCCTCGGCTCGGGGGGCCTCGGCCTTGGCCGGGGGCCCGCGGCCCGCTTCCCGGTAGTCGCGAGCCGGAGGCCCGGGCGCCCGGCCCTGGCGCACCTCGCGGCAGAAGTAGAGCTGGAAGAGGTCAGTGAACTGCAGCGACACGAGCTCGGCGCGCAGCGGCGCGTGCTGCGGGTGCTCGCGGACGAAGAGCCAGTACTGCCGGGCCAGCTCCCGGGCCGTGGCCACCGCGTGCAGCTCGCAGAACTCGCTCCAGCCGCGTGGGGCCGGGGCTGCGCTCGTGGACGAGGAGGCGGAGGGCGTGGAGGAGGCCGCGGAGGGCTGCAGGGCGGGCCCGTTCATGGCGGAGACCGAGGTGGCGCGGCCAGGCTGAAAGACAGGTGGGGACAGGCAACAAGGAGTGAACACGCAGGTGAGCACTGGCCACTTAAAACCACTACCGGGGACTGATCATTCACCAGGCACCACGTCAGAAATCGAAAATTACTCATATTACTTCACCTAGTGCTGGCGAAGATGCAGCGAAATGGGCACTTCCCTACCAAGTTGGGGCCCCCTTAAGAGGGTCGGCCTTTGGGGCGTGGGGGGGGGGGGCGGGGGCAATGCGGCAGGATCACTTTCAGACCCAGTAATGCCACTTCCAAGTACTCAAGAGAAGTTTTAGGACAACCCCCTGCTAGACAGTTCCTGCTCCAACATTTAAAATAGGGAAAAGTAAATACAACTGTTAAGCAAAAAATTTAACTTCCACGGCTGAAAGTCTTTTTAAAAGAAAGGGTTTATTAGGCCATTACTAGCCAAAAAGAAAAAAGAAGCGGATGAATGGTCCGGGGCGTGGAGTTCAAACCTGCGGGCAGCGCGGGTCGGCAGGAGAGACCAACGTGTCCGGGTCCTGGAGGTTTGCCAGAGTTTTTCTACATCAAGTGTGTGAGGGTGGGGTAGGCGCCGGTGGGTTAAGCCTGGTCTGGAAGCGTTTACTTTAGCTACAGACAAAGCTGATGCAACCCCTCCCACCCCCACCCACAAAGAAAAATGTTTGCTCCTGTGGGCAGCACATTAGACACTTCATGTGTAAATTAGAAGCGGAGGCTCCTGGGGTTCGATAATCACTTGGAAATTAATCCTAAATGTCAACAGATACAAAGGAATGAGAGCAGATTTCCGTCAGCACTGGCCCACAGCTCTAACTGTTCTGTCTCTTTTGCTCTCGGGCTGTTGGCATTTTAACTGAGAAGATCTCAGACTTTTTTCTTGTCGCCACCTAAATGCCCGTCGGTCAGCGACGGCGGTGCACCTGCAGGCTCGGATGCCCGGCAGCAGCGGGGGAGGGGAGGGAGATCCGCGCCGCCGCCGCCTCTGCGAGGTCTCCAGGGGACACCGTGAAGCAAACAAAGCAAACCACAGAGCAGCGCGCCGGGCGCGAGCCTATCCCGCCCCCCCCCCCCCCCCGCCCCGTCACTCACACACACACACACACCCCACCCCCCACCCCCCACCCCCAAACTGCCGATTCTGATGGCTACAGAAAGGTGCGCAAGTGACGGGCGAGAAGGGCGTGGCTGGAGCAAACCCGTCCAGAAACTGTGGCGACCTCTGGGGAGGAGCCAGCATTGGGATGCAGGGCGAAAAGGAACCAAGTAGCCCAGGAAGACTGCAGCGACGTGTGGCGAGAAAGTATGGTTAACGGCACAGAGCCTGTTTGCTAGAGTCCCTGTGTCCCACGGTGTCTGAGTTGCCCCTCCGGCATTTTCCTGCCAGGTGTGTCTGGCTCTTCCTCAACTACCTGTGAATCCCCCATTCTCCCTTCTGAGATCTAATGCTCACCCCCCGCTTTCTCCTTTGTCCAAAAATGTCTTATATACCCAGTGTTGCCTCACTGTCTATGGAATTTCATGCTTACGTGAATTCCCCAAGCACATGTATTCAAACTTTTTCTCCTGTTTAAAAAAGAAGAAGAAGAAGAAAGAACACGGAGCCTGGAGGCCGAGTTCAAATCCCAGCACCACCCCTGTCTGGTTGTGACCTTGGGTGAGTTCTCTGATTTCTCTCTGCCTTGGTGTCCCTGTCTGTTAAGCGGGGACCATGACTGTATTGAGTCAATTAATGTAAAGGCCTCAGAAACTAGGTAAAGCTTAATAAGGGTTAGCTGCCTTTATTGTTATTTAAATGTTACAATGTCAGTGTATTGTTGCCAATAAATATAAAACAAATAAAGAGGAACAAACTAACTAGACTCCCAAGAGGTAGGAAGATATTTCCTGCCCTGGTATTTCCTGCTCAGCCAGTCCTTGCCCTCCCATCCCAGCCGGGGCTCCCAGCCTCTAGGTCCCTCCTCAGGCACATCTGAAGGGCAGAAGCCCCCCACCCTCTGCTGTCCGCGGTGCTGAACCCCAGAGCGCCCTCGTTACCAGCAGTGCTGGCCACCTTCCAGCTGGACCATGCTGGGCTCGGGCCCCCACTTGGGACACATAATCATGGCTGCTCATTCGCCTGGCCCCCAGATATTACTGAGGGCCTACTATGTGCCAGACACTGTGCTAGGCCATGGGGATGCAGCAGGAATCCCAACAGAAATGCCTGTTCTTCTGAGGCTATGTTACACACACACACACACACACACGTATGGGCTGGGGGGCTCCTGACACCTGACTGGACCTCTTTAAACCCTGGGTTCCTCGTCTGTCAAACAGGGAACAGTGTGGTATCAGCCACATAAGATGGTTGCAAGGAATCCTTAAAAAGGGGACTCAAATGGAGATCTGAGCCCAGAAATTGGGGTTCTTTCTGCCACCCCACCATCTCCAGACCACAGAGGTGACACTGCAGCTGATCAAAGCAGGACACCCAGATAGCACAGAGTAGGTGCCTCTGCCCCAGGTGGAAGGGGGCTGTGCACATCACAGGGTCCTGGGCTCTTCGCACTCGGAGGTGGGAGGTGTGAGCTGCTCGACAGAGGGGAGGGAGAGGAGCCTCGTGCGCCCTTGACCAGCCCTTGACCATCGCACTCTGAGAACACAGACCCCTTGCTGAAGGGCGAGGGTTCTGCCTGCAGAGGGGCTGGGCGTGGCCTGGCCCCAGGTCAACCCTGCAGCTGCCTTGACACAGGTGAGGCCGGCGCTGTTGCTCAGGCTGGGGACTAGGGCTCTCAGATTCCAGGCCCAGGTCCCTGCCCCACTACAGGACTCTCCGGGAGCTGCCCTCACCTGTTCCAGCGGCCTCTGGGCGACTGCGCCTGCGTCCCCTCAGCCCCGCCTGCTCTCAGTCTGCTCCAGTCTCACGTAGGAGAAGCCCTCCCAGATCTCTCCAGCCAAGTTACAGCCTGAACTTGTCCTTTGGCAGTGCTATCATTCAACAGCTATGATTATTTGATTAGTGAAAATCTCCCCCACCAAACTGAGCTCCGTGAGGCCAGGAGCTCTCCATTCTATCTCAGTTCCCAGCATGCAGCAGGAGCTCAACAGACGCCCAATAAATGAATGACTGCAACAGTTCAGCTGAATTCGCAACCTCTCACTCTTCTAGGAGACACATGGCAGCCAGCACCCACCGATGGGCTACTCACCTCCTGTGCACCCCGGGCCTCTGTCTGCCTGTCCCTTTGTCTGGGACAGCTGTCCTTATCCACCCCAGCATGTCAGTCTCGAAGTCTTACTGCAGGGCCGCACCCTGGCAAGGGCCTCCTCGGAAGAGCTGTGCCCACACCAAGCTCCGACCTGCCCAGGAGAGGGCTGGCCCATGGTCCCCATTCCGGTTTCTCTGTGAGAGTGACGTGTACTGAGTACTCGCTGCATCTCACACATTTTTCTAACTACCCTTGCAAAACGTGAACTCTGGAGGCTCGTGACAGCGCTCGGAGGTAGGGCAGTAACGTAAGCTCAGAGAGGTGCCGCAGCTAAGGATGAATGGATGCCCCTGCACAGAAGGCACCTCCAAAACGTCCGTGGTGTCCGAAGGCACAGCATGAAGAAGCCTCTTCCTAGTGAGTGTTTATGGAAGGAAGAAGTGTGATCCAGGAAGGGGTATAAACGTCTCATTCGGTTCCTGGTCCCCAACCCACCAGGTGGTCAGAAAAATAGCCCAGGGTGAAAATAAACAAAAGAAGTGGTGCTTGGTCATGCTGTGTGCCTGCTCTGTGGCAGACACTTTGCATTTATTCACGTGTTCATTCCCCACTGGAGGACGGAGTCCCAGCATTTTGCCCAGTTTAGGGCTGAGAAAACCGAGGTGCCAGAGGAGTGGCTTGCCGGCGTCACAGCTGCGAGGTGCAGAGCCAGGAGCAGAGCCAGCTTGCTCTCAATGCACGCAAGCCATGCTGCCCACCACTGACCTCCCTGCACCAGGCCAAGCGGCCAGCGTCCCTCCCCCCACCCCTGCCCACTCCCCAGGGCCCAGCCAGTGCAGGAACTCTAGAAATACCAGCTGCGTGAATTAATGAACTCCTGGGGTCGACATGGGCTGCGAACAGCAAACTCTGGAGTCATGCCACTGACCCAGGAGGCAGGCAGTGGGGCTCTGAGAAACCCACCGAGATGCCCACCCCCACCTGGACAACCTCTCCATAGTGGAGCTACCAACCAAACCTGGGGCCACCTCCTTGCCAGGTGCTGCAGAAGAGGGGCTTCCCCCTCTGAGCCTCAGTGTCTCCATCTGTAAAATGAGGCGATGCTCTCCAGGCACCTGCTAGGGGCATTCTAGGGACTGACGTCTGCAGGGAGCTTGGCACAGGGCTCAAGGAACGGGCGGCTGTTGCCCCTCCATTATTGTTGCTGTTAAAAAGGAGGAGAGCCAGCTCTGGAGAAGGCCTGCTCGCCTGCCAGGGGAAACCACAGGGAGAGTCTGGCCTGGCTGGCAGGGCGGGGGCATCACGGGAACTGAACAAAAGGCCTTCTCAGGGGGGAGGTGGCTGCTTCAGGCAGGAAATGGCCAGCTGTGGCCCGAACCAGGGAGGGAGCGGTGCTGGGAGTTTCTGGTGCTGTGGGCAGCCAGGCCACAGGAAGATAGTCTCCTTCTTGGGCCTTGGCCCTGGTGGTAGCCGTTTATTGAGCACTTACTATGTGCCAGGCAAGGAGGAAGAGCAATTGATCAGATCATGCCCACCCTGGGGTTGGAGCTAAAGCGCTCTCGGCAGAAAGCAATTATTAATCACCTGGGGGTTCCCAGGAGCCCCCAGGCTGAGGCTGTTGGGCAAGAGTTGGGGGGATCCATAGGCACTTCTATCCCCTGCCTCCAGGAGCCTGGGCAGCCAGAGAGATGAACAGCTTCCCACACAGAGGAGCCTGCACACCCAGAGTCCCCCCACCTGCTCATCCTGGCCTCTGGCACAGGGAGCCCCAGCTGCATTGGAGGACTTTAGGCGCCCCCCAGGCCCACAGCAGGGCGAGGAACAGGAGGATGGGATGC